AAATCAAACGATTAAAAAAACAGGCACTTAAAATAAATGATTTAAGAAATAGGCACCTCGTGTCCTAGAATAAGATTTTGCACAAGCTCTCACTAAGAGATTCTTTCCCTTTGTAGAGGTAAATTCAACACTCATAGAGTGACCTAGATTTCCCAAGGAGATAGAATTATAATCCTTCCCTCCATATTCCATACCTGCTTCTTGACATGCTCAATTTCTGAACGCAGTCTCTGGATGTTCCTAGTCAACTCTTGAATCTCCTGCCTGGTGTTGCGCAGATTGTCACCATGCCGTCCTGCTGTGTTCTGCAGAGCTTCGTACTGTAGGGCAGAAAAAGTGTAATTTTCCATTTTGCTGCATCAGCTCAGTGGATGACAATGGAAGAAGAATAGCTCAGGGATAGCAAAGGATGGCCCAACAAACATTCCTAAATTGCAATTTCCAGCAGGCCCAGCCAGCACAGTTAATGGTAAAAGACGCTTGAAGTTGTAGCTCAGCCACATCCAAAGAGCCATGGCTTTCACACTTTATATTGATGTGATATCAGTTTAATTATCATGGTTCCCAGAAAGGGTTTTGCAAAGCGTTGTGCATACTGACTCCATACTTAAGATCTTAGGGCCAAGATGCAAAAGCTGCTAAATCATTTTAAGTCATATTGCAATTGGCTGGATCTGCACATGGTTGAAGAGCTTATACAAATGGTGCATCAACATCTGTCATGGATGATTAAAGACTATTTTGCCTCAGATAACGGCTTTTTGTCACATTGTTCAGAAAATGAGGAGGCTTAAAAACCTAAAAAGATTGACTGAAATCGCACTGCAGAGAAATTAGATTCTGAAGAAAGAGTCCTCACAACTCACTATTCATTTCTAGCCTGTGTGTCAGAACTGAGATTCGACATCTTTAGGACTGACTGCTTGCTCACTAGTCAGATTTTGGGGCCTCCAGCTTCCCTCAGCCTGGCCTCTTTCAAGATGAGGCAAGACTGCATTTCCCAGAATCCCTAGCTAGTACAGCTGAGAACCTACAAGAACCTACAAGTTATGCATTCTACAACTTTGGAACGCGCCAGATGGGGGAAAGCTGATCTGTCCTGAGAATATCAATCATGGCATTTGCTGCCAAGGCTTTCTTCAGAGAATATTGATATTGTACTTTGGCGAGGGAACTACAAATTCAGTTTTAGAAGTCTGTAGAGGAACTAAGGTCCAATTTGCAGAGACCGCATGGAGAAAGAGAACAACCATTTAAATAGTTGTCTCAGCAAATGAGTAGAAGCAGAAAGTCCTTACTACAAGGTTCTGGGATTCTGTAGTTTGAATCCTCAGGAGTTGTTGCTTCCTGGAAAAGCATAAGATAAATTAGGGAACTTTATTTCCTTGTCTCAGTGTGATTACTTACTTGGGAGTGATACCAAGACTCAGCCTCAGCTCGGCTACTGCGAGCAATCTCTTCATACTGGCTTCTTACTTCGTCAATAATACCTTCCAAATTCAAGTGGGTATTATTATCCATGCTCACTACTACTGAGGTATCTTGGCCTCCAGTCTGGTACTGAGAGATTTCCTGTGAAGAATCCAAAAGCATGAGTTAGGTTGGCAATCTAGCTGATTTATTCCCCCCCCGCCGCCCCTTCACCATTCATGATTTTTTTTTACTCCCCATAATATGCATTTTTTAATTCTTGATTGTATTTAGAGCCTACAGGCTCAGAATGAGAATTAGAATGAAGGCTATTGAACCCTGTTTACTGGCTTCACTATGGCCCTGTGAACTCAGGAGCTGGAAGAAGGAATGGTTTCCCTGCTTGCGTAGGGTCCTTTGTAGGCCTTTGTTTTTAGATGGGTGAAAAAGGAAGAGAAAGTCGGCTATCTCACCATTCTAAGAACATTTGCTGTTGTAATGTGGACATTTGTTGCACTTGTAACTGAAATCACTGAATGGTGTGTCCTGCAAACATGCACTTTATAAAATAAGATTCTTTTTCGAAGAAAGATTCATGATAGACATAAAGACAAATCTGAATTTGGGTCAGTGGGATCTGAAGATACCCTCTTTCTTCTAATTAACCAATAGAACCAAACCATTCCTTACCACTTCAAAGATTCTTCTCAGGAAGTTAATCTGATCAGCCAAAGCACCAACTCTTGAATCCAAGTTACTCTTGGACAAATAGGCACAATCCACATCCTACAAGGATCCAGAAGAATGTCAGTGTAAATCTTCAACAAGTCTCATCATCAGTTGGACCATACCTGAACTCTTTTTAGCAAATTTACACAAAGAACCCTATAAGTTCCTGTTAGGTTGTTTAATTTTAAGTCTTCAGCTCTCAGTTTTTGAAATACCACATCAGCAATATGTGAAGAAACAATACACTAGAGAATACATATAAGCAGGGAAAAAATGCTGTTTCTGTTCTTCATTGACTAATTACAGACAGCAAACCTTTTCAGATCAAATCAACTTCAACACATGATTTTTTATAAACGAAGCAATTTTTATATAAAGCTTTTTATATAAATGAAGCAATAGGTTTCATGCAAAGCTTATGTGAAGCAGACAAACATAATTTTGCATCTTTTTTACTAATGTAAACTGTACTCTAAAAGTATCCATTGTGACTTATAGGGAGAACATGTGTGCTGTTCGGGACATATCAGGAGCTATTGAATTTATAAATACATTCAAAATCCTTTTTTAATGGTTAAGGAGAGAAGATAATAGGTTTTAATTTCGATGTCAATTTTTTACTTTTAGCCAACTCTGAGAACCAAAATTTGTTATTCAACATTTCTAGTTCTCTGAATTTGGCAATGCAGCTTGCTAATAACAAAAGCCATAAAAAGATTAGGAAAATATGAGAGGAGAGGGGTGGGGATAGGTTACTAAATATATACTATACATTATATGAGAGAAAATCAATTGCAAAACCTACATATTTCAGGGCAATCTTGCTAGTGTATATGCATACTTCTCTAAACAAGAGCAATGTGCATCAAAATATTACGCATTCACATTTTTGTACAAACTTGACAAAAAAATCTTAATCTTGACAAACAAAAATCTAGAGATTTGCTCTTTTGTATTCATGGTTCTGTGTCATTTCAAAATATGTTTTAATATGTCAGGCTCCTTGAATATGGAAAACAAATGTGTTAATTTGTTTTCATAATTTGATAACATGGCGCTTTTCCATATGCAAAGAGATTCAAATATGGAATGTAATCCTATAACTGCATCATGTAGCATTTTTGACAACAGCATCAGGAACAACAAAAAGATAGGCCTACATTGGAAGGGCATGCAAATTGTTGACCATGATGACTTAGTTCTTAAAAGTTGGAGAAATCTCAAAGAACGATTCCATTCTGTCCCTAGATTATGCCTTCTGTGTTTCTAGCAAACTGCCAGATGTTCATCTCTCACCTTTTTCAGCACAACAAAATCATTCTCAGCTGTTGTGCGCCTGTTGATCTCCTCTTCATACCTAGAAGAAAAAGCAAGGTGAGTTTATTGATTTATTGATTTCTCGACGGCAATCACACATAGACTACAGAAGCCAAGCTAAATACTAAATACAAGAAGCCAAGATAAATAAAAAGCTATCATAATAAACACAATGAATAGAATGTGAACAAATTCCTCAAAGAAGCATGAGGAAATTAATTCTCCCACCTTGTTCATGGAAGTTCCTACACTGATTGTAATGTTATCCCCCATATTTAACTGCAATATTTATATCCTCCAGGGCTTGGAGCAACATGTCCAAAGAGCATTCTTTGTGGCATTATTGTGATCTGCTGCTCATCTGGGGGACAGACTATGACCAGACTGCAAGTGCCAATAACTGAAAGAGACAGTTGTTTCTGAGGTTCTCACTTGTTCTTGTATTCTTCCACATAATGTTGCATACTCTGGAGCTCTGTTGTCAGCTGCCCCTTCTGGCTGCGGATATTTTCAATCTGACTCCTCAAGCTATTCAGGAACTGCTGGAAGTCAGCATCCAGATTCATAGTTGGGCCAATGCCTTGTGACTGTCGTTGGAGGATCTGCCATTTGGTTTGCAATACCTTGTTTTGTTGCTCCAGAAAGCGAACCTATAAAAGAAATTACTTGAGGAAGTTGCCATCACAACACATTGGGATAACTGTGGGAATGATTAAAAGCAAAGCTGGACCCTTCCAGCTAAATGAACGTTAACTAGAGAGACAGGAGCAAACTCATTACGTTCCATTCTCTAGTTCACTCTTCTTTTCTTTGCAAAATTGAAACTCTAATTATCTGGGAATGAGATGAAGATCTAAAGGACACAGGCATTTTGAGAATTTCATGAATCTCACTGGACTTCCTTCAGCTGTCAGTGGAAATCAATGAAGGGCTTGTTCTATTTTCTTCAAACCCTATTCTGACCCATGCACTTTACAAGAGCCAATGTGGTTACTTATGATGAGCAACAATATTACAGGCAGGCCCATCCAAGAAATGCAAATGCTGCCTCTTTTTTAATAGACTACAGTTAATGGACACAAACATTTTGAGTAACAAGGCATCATTGTTTGAAAAGCTTGTGATAGTTTTTAGGTTTGGCATTTGCACTGAGCCATTTTTAATCTTGGCATCTCCAGTTACAGTTTAGGTAGGAGCATTTGGAGGCCAGCAGCTGATTTAGTCATTACAAAATATAGTTTTAAAAAGATGTATGAAAATGTTCAGCATATACAGTATAAGGCAATCAATTACAGCTTGTCTTATAAATTCCACACATGCTAGTTTTCTGTTATCCTGAAATCATTTTGAAAATCTACCTGCTAATGAACACCCTAATTGTTTTTTCTGTTTTTCTAGTTCTTACCAGCCAGTTGCTTCTATTCATCACTAAACATCCACCCCCAAGACGTTACTAGATTGTTAAGCACAAATTGCATCAAGTTTTATCAGTTGACGTGCATTCCATGACAGCAATAAAAAATGTAACACTTTCTGTTCTGTTAACCTACCTTGTCGATGAAGGAAGCAAACTGGTTGTTGAGGACTTTGATCTGCTCTTTCTCTTGATTTTTTACTTGCTGTATTTGGGGGTCAATTTCTACCCGGACCGGTCGCATAAGATTTGGATCCACTTGGACACTGCCAATACCTCTAGATCCAAGGCCACCAAGTCCTCTACCACCAAACCCACCTCCTATTCCTCCGTAACCACCCCCTATTCCTCCATAACCACCCCCTATTCCTCCATAACCACCCCCTATTCCTCCATAGCCACCACCCATTCCACCATACCCACCACCATACCCCCCGCAGATGCTTCCTCCATAGCCAGATCCATAGGAAATCCTTGTAACTCCACCATAGTTATGGAGGCTCCTGCTACCATATTGGCCTCTCATACCGCCATCATATCCTCTGCATGAAGAATAGCTACGCCTGATTCCACCTCCGGTGCCACCACCAAAAGCAGAGCATGAGCTGTAGCCCCTTCTGCTCCCCTTGGAGCCTTGGCAGATGGCCTGGAAAGACATTGCTGTGTTCAAGTCAAAGGAGCAACAGAGAGAATGAAGAGGCCTAGTAGCAGCTAGGGGAAAATTTAAAATAAAGGAGTAGCTGGAGAGTGCTGAGCCCAAAGAAAGCCAAATTCCTCTGGATCCAGAGATGGAATGAGCATCCCTTTTATGTATTCCAGGGAGGTGTTGGATTTGATTTTGCATGGGCGGGAAAGAGGATATCATTATATTGTGTTCGTGGCTTGGTGTGGTTGACAGATCTTCATCTCCAGTTTACCAAACATTGACTCTACCCATCAGCACAGCCCTTCTTACCAAAAGAAAAAAGAGAAGACGAAGATGAGGAGGAGGACCAGCAATCGTGCAATAAATTCAGTGACTAAGATGTCTTAAGCTTGATTATTGTAGCTGATGAGTAGACCTGACACAGAGCAATTCCCTTTATTCTCAATGGCAGCGGTATCAGCATCTCCATCTGCTTTTCAAATTGCAGAGTCCCAGGGCAGGCAGCTGCTGTGCAGACTGTCAAGAAATAGCTCGGCTTTCACAATTCCCAAAGCACGCCCGCAATTACAGCCTGAGTATGCCTCGATGTGGAAAATTGCCCATGGCACCCTAAGAGTGGTTTTTCAACTTGCAATTCACGGAGCATCAAGATCACCTCAGCAAATTGTTATTAGAAAACTGCTTTGCTGGATAGGAGAGAGAGAGTGTGTGCAGTGCTTTTTCAGAGGCAATCCTTACAGCTTTGTACCAGGAGCATCAAGGATCTAGCTTCAATACAATCTGAATCCTAGGTGGGGGAAACTGGCTTGCGAAAGATGAAGATCAGCTGTTGATAAAGAGGAAATGAGCACATCTGGGTGACATGGAATGGTAGGTGGAAGGAAACCTAAAAGTAATGGAGGCCTCCAAGTGCCTACTTTCTTCCACAGAGATAGGCAAAGGGGAATGACAAAGAACTGTCAGGTTACGCAAAAGCAGTAAAAGGATAACTTAGAAAGTGATTACTTGTGGCACCAGTTTTCATGGCCTGCTTGCAGTGAAGTAACTAAATCTGTTTTTCCCCCTGCTTCTTTCTTGAAGCAAGCCTTGTATATGAGTGGGCAAGCACTCTAAGTCATTTGAGTCAGCAAATATAAAAGAAGAACCCAAGGTAGGGAAATAGTTTAGAAAGAGTGGGTCAGAGAGGGACAAAAAAGTCTGAAAATGGTACAGACTGTGGTGTGTGCTGAAGCCATCTTGTGCCAGCTTGCAAGAGCCAATTGTTAAATTTTCAGGAATTTTGCAAGCCAGTTGAGAGCAGAGCTGATGACTGTTGTGTAGCAACACCATGGTGGCAATTGATTCAATAATGTCAGTGAGGATTGGAGACACTGAAGGAGCTCAATAGTGTATTTCCCATCACCCATCTTCCTAGAGGAAGGAAATGCCTGGAACAACTCTTCCTCTTTACGACCAATTTGGAAAAGCCAGTTGTTAAACATCAGTGGGTAGAGATGGGACTGCAAACGTTTGATCAAGATTGCTATTGACCCATAGGGACTTTGTACTTATCCTCACAATAATGACTTCAACCTGATGAAAACTATGATGAAATGTGTGTATTGTTATTATGAAATTAATTCATCAAGAAGATGCTGTCTAAGCTATATTAGGCTGTTATCATTTACTTGATATTTATATATTCTATATATAATAACTGGAGCCATGTTGGTGTTTTCCTTTTTTTTCCTTCTTCCTTTTTCATTTAAAAAAACCATATGATTAAAACAGGTGACCAAATAATATATAAATATTCTCATCATCATCTCATCAATCCTGTTTTAAAATCCACTTCAATTTAAACCTGCTTCAGTTTAACCACTATGCACTTGAACATTATTACCCAAGACCAAGTTTGAGCACTTATTTTAGCACAGTAATTATAACACTACACCAATCATTTTAATATTAAGGGAATTGCTGCTGGAAGTATCTCCTTTACCCGAACAGAAGTACCACTGGCACATCAGAACACTGCACCTCAAAGTATGAGGTAAAGACTTTTCTGAGTCAAATATGACTCCTGATATTTTAAGCGACACACCCTTCTGGTTTTCTTGACAACCAGATGGAAGTGGTTTGCTATTGCTTTCTTCTGTGATGCTTTTCAATATCCTAGTCTAGCTAAGGTTTGGTATTTCTTGGTCTCTGCTTAGCTTTTGGAAGTCAGCCAAAGTTGCCTGTGTGCTGCTCAACAAAAATAGAATAGTATACAAATGGATGTATGTTTTTAAAAAGCACGGGGAAATGTAGGTTTTCTTCTCAGGGAAGAAAAGTAGCATTTAAAAAACATCTGCTGATAACAACTTCTTACTTACAGTATGAATCTTATAACATCCCATGTAATAGTTGCACTAAAAGACGAGAGAGGTAGTCCTTGAGTTACGACCACAATTGAGCCCAAAATTTATGTTGCTAAACAAACATTTCTTAAGTGAGTTTTGCCCCATTTTATAACTTTTCTTGCCACAGTTGTTAAGTGAATCATTGCTTTTGTTACGTTAGTAATACAGTTGTTAAGTGAATCCGGATTCCCCACTGACTTCGCTTGTCAGAAGGTCGTAAAAGCTGATCACGTGACCCCAGGACATGCAACTGGTCATAAATATGAACCAGTTGCCAAGCATCTGAATTTTGATCATGTGACCATAGGGATGCTGCAAAGCTCGTAAGGGTGAAAAACAGTCATAAGTCACTTCTTTCAGTGCCATTGTAATTTTGATTAGAATGAACTGTTGTAAGTCGAGGACTATCTGTATGATATAGCCATTGCCTCAATAGCCAATAAATGGATGGGTTTACCCTGTAACAGAATAAGGCACACCGGTTCAAAACAACAGGAGCACTTTGGGTGACATAAGGTGGTAAAGAATACTTTAAATACAAAGCAAGGGGAAAAACAGAATCCTGAGTTTGCACTTGAGATGGGAGTGAGGTGAGTACAGAGAGACATCATTCGTTCCTGTCTTTCAAAAATATATGGCTTTCTAGTCCAACCCCCTGCTCAGACAGGAAACCTATACCAGTGGTGGCGAACCTATGGCACACGTGCCAGAAGTGGCAATCGGAGCCCTCTCTGTAGGCACACGTGCCGTTGTCTCAACCTTGCCTCCCCCCATGACCCCCTCCTCACCAGCAGCCCCCCTGGAGGAGATTAGCCCCCAAGCGTGGCCCACACAGAGCAGCGCAGCCAAGGACATGGCAGCCAGGCAGCGTAGAAAAGACTCTGCCCTCACACCCCATCCCACACAGTTGATGCTGTGGAGTGCAGGCAGAGGGCATGGCCATGGCGCTACTGGTCTGCCTGGGCGATCTGCAGCGAGCCCTGGAGACGGTGAGTGGCCCTGCGGGCAGGCGGGATGGGGGACGGGATGGGAGCAGGGCATGGGCAAGGCAGGGCAGGGGGTGGAGCGGGGGCGGGATCAGTTTTTGGGCACTCGGTCTCTAAAAGGTTCACCATCACTGCTCTATACCATTTCAGACAAATGGTTATCCAGTCTCTTCTTTAAAACTTCCAGTGTTGGAGCATTCACTCTCTTGTGGAAAATCTGGTTACTCTTTTGCCTTTGCTGTACTAATGATTTATTTTACGTGGATGGAAATGAAGTTAAGGAATGGATTCAATATATGCATTCGTTCAATTTTTGAAAAAAAAACCTACATGTTTCAAAAATGAGATGGAGAAGTTGGTTTCTATATTGTCTGGATTTAATAGTAAGGAAATCTTACATTGATGTTATATGGATTTTATTTTATTTTATTCCTTATTCCTAGTTTCCTTTTTTCTTCTTCTTTTATGTTCAGTTTATAACATCATCGAAACAGGTTTTTTTTACTATACTGTCAAATATATTATTTTTGTTTATTTGTACCTCACTAATGTTTTAAGTGATTTGATTGTCGATTAAATTGCCTTTTAAAATCAACAAATCAATTGTGTGGCTTTTATTAAAAAGATGTATGGTTGTTGTTGTTGTTGTTGTTGTTGTTATTATTATTATTATTATTATTATTATTATTATTATTATTCATACAGTCAGCCACATATTTAGATTGGACCTGGTATTTTTATCCACCTATCAATGACCTGGGATAGGCAGATGTCGTTGTTTGATAGTATTAAAGATATTGTCGCAGGATATAAGCTGTTCCAAATAAAGCTGTCGTTTGCAATTGACTGATGGTGAGAATTAATTATTATAATTAATAATACTTACTAGTGGTTTCTTATAAGTGATAACCAGGCTGAGCCTGAGGGAAGGGTCAAACACGTCATCATCTGGAATCCCATCATGCCCACTATATATAATAGTAAAGTTGGAAGGGACCTTGGAGGTCATCTAGTCCAACCCCCTGCTCAGAAATAAAATAGAAATAAAATAGTCCGAGCACCAGAATAATATTAAAACAAAAACTGTTTAATACAATATATCTATATATTCATCTGAACAGTCTAGATTCTTCATTTCCTGGGATTGAACTTACTATTATTATTACATTTACCGTTTGTTTTTAAATCTTCTGGAATGAGGTTCTCCCTAAGTAGACTTACCAGATATCTGAACAGACAAATGGAGACATAAACAATTAGAAAGGAGGACAAATCCGGGGGGGGGAGGGGAGCACTTTAACTTTCTTGACATCTCTGACCAAAATTACAATTTAAAAAACTGCAAAGAAAAGTACTTAAGCACGCAAAGGTATGTAATTACTGATTCCAGCATCCAAGAAACTGGTTTTTTCAATTGCAGGAATGGCCTAGAGCTTATTAGAAGGCAAAAGCCTTTAGTGTGTAACTGACATGACACCCTGTCAATTTAACTGGAGGTGTTGTACCTTGTACCAAAACCCAGAAGGAATTATACCCACTTTGGAAACAATGTAGTGTAATAAAAAGAAGGATTAGGGGTGAAATGATAGCAGTGTTCCAATATCTCAGGGGCTGCCATAAAAAAGAGGAGGTCAACCTATTCTCCAAGGCACCTGAAGGCAGAACAAGAAGCAATGGATGGAAACTAATTAAGGAGAGAACCAACCTACAATTAAGGAGAAATTTCCTCACAGTGAGGACAATTAATCAGGGGAACAACTTGCCTCCAGAAGTTGTAAATGCTCCAATACTGGAAGTGTTTAAGAAGAAATTGAACAGCCATTTATCTGAAATGGTATAGGGTTTTCTGCCAGAGTAGGGGGTTGGACTAGAAGACCTCCAAGATCCCCTTCAACTCTGTTATTCTGTTTTTCATGGAATCCAGTTCTACCATTCTGGATTCTCTCCTTCCCACAAACTGTTCCAATATGGCAGCTAGTACATGCACCCTTTTAATGTCATTGGGAAAGATAATTCAGACTGAACAGAAGTGAATGTTTGACATGCAAATTCAGCACTTCTCCAAAGCAGCTATATCTTTCTTTAGATTTCCACATGAGCCTGAAAAAGAATGTGAGTTCTCTACTGAGTCAACACAAAACACACCTGTGCATGTGCTCCATAGTGTCCTTGTAATCTACAAACGTTAATATTGCGTCTGACCCATGAAAAACAAAGCTCCAGCAGCAACAGTGTCACACACAAATGCAAAGCAAAAACTCCACACAAAACTATTCTAGGGTTCACCTAGAATCCAGAAATAAAGCAAGCATAAATTTCCCACACTTAAGAACACTAAAGCTTTTAGGATCAATTCTGATTTGGGATTTTTTTTTTCCTAAACTGGTAGAAGCTCTCAGATAAAAAAGATATTTCTTCACTATTTTTTTTTTTTGCTCACACACCTGTGCACACAGAATTTACTTTTTAATATTTTTGCAGTTCTACTTTTGTATCCCTTTCACTTTCTAATGAAACAGATCCATATTTCAGGCAGAATGAATTAGCTTGTCACATTCATTTCAAATACAGTCCAACTTTTCTTCCTTTCTCTTCCCCACTGAATCTGAAGAAGCAATTAGATCTGAAGCCGAACATTCTTACTGGCTAACAATAATAATAATTTCAAAATGGGAACTGGCCCATTTCACACAAAAATGATTGGACAGAGGAAAAACCTTGTCAGCTTATTGTGGTCAAGCCTCTGATTCGACAAGCAGCTGTTTTTAAAGAAAAGTTGGAGATCTGGGCTTGTTTATGGTCAGCAGGGGCTGACATGGCGATATGGCTACCCTAATCATTATCTCTTCCATTTCTGCCCATGTGTATATTGGATTGCCGGAAAACAGATGTGTATTCTCTAGCTCAGTGATGGCAAACCTTTTAGAGACTGAGTGCCCAAACCGCAATCCAAAACCCACTTATTTATCGCAAAGTGCCAGGACCGCATCAGCATTGTGGTGTCTTCATGGGGGGGGGGGCAGGGAGGCACCTCTGAGTGCTGCCTCTGGCACACAAAAACCGGGGGCACAAAAATGGGCCACCGTGCTGCAAGGCGCAAAAACGGCTGTGCCGTGGGGTGCAGATACAAGATGCTGCACCATGCAAGAACGGGACAGGGCTAGTGAGTATCACGCAGGCACTAGCCCCGCCCCATTTTCAGCGCGTGCATGCCCGCAGCCTTGTGCACGCATGCACGCATGTAAAATGCTTCCCCCTCTCTTTTCTTCCAGTCCACCAATCAACAATGGTTGGTGACCTCTGCTCTACCACCTCTACTTGAACCTGCTAGTTGGCCGCTTTGCCTCCTTTGTGCTGGGCAGGGCTCCTGCTCTGGGCGGCAGTGGTGGCCTGATGTACCTGCTGCTGGCGGTGGTGGCATGTGTGCCAACAGAGAGGGCTCTGAGTGCTGCCTCTGGCACGCGTGCCATAGGTTCACCATCTCTGCTCTAGCTACAGCTTTGTTAGAGAAACTTAATTGGAGGAGGGGAGCAGATCTTTTCCCATTTGTTGAAATTGGACTATTGCATCTACATGCTGCAGATATACTTCTAATCTAGGATAGGATATTTTCTTCACATTGAATTAAAACCAAGCTATTGGTTTATTGTCAAGAGTCTAGACAATTCTGTAAGGCAATCAGGCAAGCCTTAGAGAAGGAAGCAACTGCCAAGAGCATTGTTCTCCTCAGTGCCTTAAATATATCCTCCATTTCATCTCAGGCCATCTCTAGCTAAAATTTGCCTGGGTTTTGCAGCCAGTATGTACAGAATTTTGCAATTGAAGGTGTGTCCTGCAAATTAAAACTGTACTTGACTGCAAATCCTGTTCCTAGGCATATAATTGATCTTTGGTGACCTTCTGATTTTATCATAGAGCTATTTGGCACTTGGAAACTGGAAATAGGACCATGTGTATGAGGCCAGTGATACAATTAGAGAAGAGCAAGAAGAAGAAAAAGTAATAGCAAGGACAATTAGACCACAGGTTCAACAATCACAATAGTACAGATATTGGATTTTTTGCTGATGCCTTCTCACCTATTGTTTTCTGAGGAAATTTGGTGGTTGAGCCTTTTTGTGTAACCCTAAACCATGTCCCATGATTCAGCCCTAGTTATGCTATAGTATGAGACCTTATTCCTTCTCTACACAATTCAGCCTACACCATTGCTCATCAACTTGAAAAGATGTGTTAAAAGCATGTCTGTGCCACTCCCTTAATATTGGTCTCAGCTGCAGTGTAGATAATCAAGCCCTGATAAGCATGGTGCATCTTAGGTGAAGGATTTATGTGTATCTGTGCCCCCTCTTCCCTTGTGGGGTTTGAGAGGGAGCAGAATGGGTCTGTTGCTCCAGTTCCCATTTCAGAATTCTGCTATAGTGCTGCTGTTAATTTTTTGGTCTGGTTCATTATCAGATCATCGATGGTGTGGGTACCTGCTGGGGTAGGAACATACAGTAACTCCAGGTTTGCCAAGCTAGTGGATGGGGAGGAATTCCTTGAGGGAAGCAGTATTTCTTTCATTTCTATTTGTGGGTGGTTAAGCACTTATTATTATCAAATTGCAAAATGAAAGTGACTATCCTTCATTTGGCACTCTCAGCAGATATTGAATCAGATGTGGTATTATTTCTCACTTCAAGGGAAACAAAAACTAGCTACTCACACATTCTCATGGACTTAAATCCACTTGTATCATCCAATGGCAACCTAAGGCATTCTAGAGACACCCCAACACTTGAGCTTTTTGAGAAGAGGAGCTCTATTTTCTGGCAATGTTGTTCAGAGGCCAAATCCTTCCAAACCATGACATAAGCACAGTTCTACCCCACTTCCCTGCCATGAATGAAAAAAAAAATAGACCGGGAGGGAGGGTGTCCCGTACCACAAGACATTTGGGATAAAGTGGGAGGAATCCTTCCTAATCAAAATCAGCAACCTGCCCAGCCTTAACTTATTGGATTGTGAGAGGGGGCAGTCATATTTCTTATTTTGCAGATGCCATTTTCAGGAGATGAAAGTGCTGAGGAATGAAAAGAGGGAAATCCTAAGTATGGCATGAAGCAAAGGAACTATCAGCTGAAAATGTGATTGCATAAGAACCACGAAGCATAAGGATCTTTGTTTGTGTCTCAGGGTTGAAATGAGGGGTCCTTGGCATTCTCTGAGCTTAATTGTTTTCTTGCAAATGTTCCATTACCCAAACTCGGTAACATCATCGGTGCACTGATGGTACTACCTAGTTTGGGTAATGAAACATCTACAAGAAAACAACCAAGCCCAGAGAGCACCAAGGATCCTTTATTATGTTCTTGCAGCACATTGTTCTTAACGCACAAAGATGATTTCCATTAATTCCTGGTTTAATTTGGAACAGATTATGGGCAAATTCATATGTAGCCTTTCCATGAGAAGACTTAACCCTTGAACAAGAAACCCCTTGGTTTCACATGGGAAGCTGCTTCTCTGAAATTGTTTTCCATCAAAACCTAATCACTTTTTGTCAATTCTGTCAATTTCATATACTGTACGTGTAACTTCAGAATATCTGTAGAACAAAGGAAATAAAATCTCTGGGGAAGGATTGTCATCTTCTAAAATAAACACATGCAGCAACTTTAAATGAAGCCTCATGAACACTGAATTTTGGGCTCATACCACAAATGTTACTACTGTGGCTTCAGTACTACAGTATATGGCAGTCTGTCTTCTCAGTGCTCTGAAAGGATGGGGTTTCTTTTTTCAATTTTCATAGATTATGAAGGTTTAGAGTGCAGGGAAAACAAATATAATAAGAGTGGATTGTTGATATCTAACATGATTGCCCAAGATTATAAATTAGTATCCCACTTTTAAAGTAGTCTTTAAAATCAAGTTCAAAATTGTAGTTAAAATAGTTTAAGATTCTAAACATTTTCAATGCCTAAAATATTATTGAAATTTGGATTATTATAACAATGTCAGTTACTTTTAGGGACATCTGTACTATGAACATGCAGTGATTTTCAGCACGTTCATTTGCTGTGGACACACCTGATAAACTCATAGAAAATACCAGGAACCTGAGGAGTCTGCCTCCATTTTGGTTATATTGTCCAAGATCCCAACTATATGAGTCTGAGGTCTCTACTTCTACAGTACAGTTCTCATGACACAAGGCCAGGGTATAAAAAAACAGAACACATCAACACACTCTTTACTGAGGCTTTATTGAGACGCAGATAGTCATACACCCATAAAAGAGAATCAACTCAAAAACTAAAATGAGCAAAGTTTTCAATGCCACAACGAAAGAAAGAAAAAGAAAGAAGGAAGGAAGGAAGGTGGGCATAATTAGAACAAAGTTGAATCTGTGAAAATTCCACATTTTTTTTTTCTTAAATAGTCATGCTCTCAATAAGTGCTTAATTTTTTTTCACTGAAATGATAAGGCCTTAAAATAGCACTTAACCCTGGCTAGGTGAAACCTATACTTTGTGCATGATAATCAAAAACTTTTCCATTCTTATCTAAACTTGTTCCAGGCCTTTCTCAGTTGACTATGGAGAAAAAGACCAAGAAAAAATCCCAGAAATAGGGAAATGATTCTCCCTGTCAAGGCAACACGGGATCTATATTCCTATCATTCAACGGTGTGTGTATTGACCGACATAAGCACGCATACTTGACATAAACATCTATGAAGTGAAAGTGTTATTATGACTGATTCATTCTAATTGGTATTTGGGCATGAAATGTAATAATGAGTCTAGGACAAAGAATGAAAGATCTAGATATATTCTGAGAAAACAGACACAGTGGTTGTAAGAGACAAAGTTCTTTTCTCTGAAAGATGCCAAGGTTGGGATGGGTATGCTTGGTGGAGATCATCAGAAGAATGTTTCTTTGATCGAGCACGAGGTTGTCATTGCATCTGTTACTTGTTACTTCCTGCCTGAACTCATAAAGGAGGAAGAGGAGGAGGTGGTAGTTTTTTTCACAATGGCACTTCCGCAGCTAGAGGAATATCCTCCTCCATACCCTCCTCCTACAGAACAAACTCCTCCACCACCTACGCTGTATCCACCTCTCCCACTTCCAGAGCTGAAACCACCAAAACCACCAGATGATCCTCCAAAGCATACTCCTCCTCCGAATCCACTACCCATTCCTCCACCAGAAGAAGAGCCTATCACAGCTGGAAGAGAAAAAAAAACACCAAGATTATTACAAGTTTCATTAAAGCAAATGCTTCCCAGTGGTGGTAACAATGGAAACAACCATGACGTTGAATATGGCTGGAAACAGCAAGGACATTTGATTTGCCCTGGGCATTCTTTCCCAGGAACTTGATGTAAAACTTGATGTCCATGCATGAAGCTCTACTGACCCCTTTTGATTGTGTTAAAAAAAGGGGAGGAGGGGAAACCTCAAACTTGTATCTAGATGTCAGATTTAATATTTTTAAAATGCACACATAGACATAAAGTTGTCAAATAGCAATGGTGTAAACATTGTGTTTGTGTGTGAGGGAGTGAGTGAGGGAGTGAGGGAGTGAGGGAGTGAGGGAGTGAGAGAGAGATTCACCACCATGACCATAAACACACATATGCACTGTAAAGAGTCGCCTGTGGTGATATAAATGGCTAGATAAACAAATAAATAAAATGTTGTATTTGCAGCAAAGATCATTACTAGAATCCATGGCTCACACAATGTTGATAATTTAACTATTGATCCTCTTTATTATTGGTCATGTAGAATGCTAGTGGTTGCATTTCATTAATACATGGAGGGCAATTAATTCACCACTTCAATTGCAAAGTTGTGTAGTTAAATTATTACAATAACTTTGCATTAAATTCCCCTGCAGACCAGACTTATGGGTTTTAGATGAATATGACAATCATATGATACTCAACAAAAATCAGTTTTGCCATGCACATGAGGGAAAAACAATTCATTCTGGATTTTTCTTTTAGTTATGAAAAATAGGTTATGAATAAAAACATAAAACTAGTTTTACTTACAGACGCTCACAGCACTTTGGCACTCTCCAGACATTCTGTGAAGGAAAAATGGTATTTATAATATGTTAGTAATGGTTATGTTCCATTGGGTAATCATATAAAATACTAAAAAAATATATGTAATCCATATGAAGAATCCCTTTAAACTTTGCCAGTACCGTGTGCTATAGAACTACAATGAATGTACTGTAAACTCCTTGCTTGGTTATGAAGTTTATTGCTTTTAGGAAATAATTCAAGATTATTATTTCAGTCCTTCCAGTTCAGATAAACATGATATTTATCTCATATTACTCTGAGTGATTGATAAAAATATCTAAGTCGTGTGGACAGTCTCACCATGCCAGTATGCTTAAATAAATCCTTATCTGAGTTAGGACATCTACATTTGTAGTATCTATTCCATGTAAGTCAGTGTTTCTCAACCTCAGAAGCTTTCAGATGTGTGGACTTTGATTCCCAGAATTCTGGGAGTTGGAATCCAGGCATCTTAAACTTGCTGAGATTGAGAAACATAGCTTTAGATTTAATCTGTTTTTCAACACAATCACCTTGAAGCATTCAAAGGGCTACACTCGGCCAGATTTTTTACAAGAGGAGGACTCAATAAATATTTCTATGGGTCTAAAGTTGCATTGATTTCTGAGTAGCACACTGGATCCACACTCCAAAGGGTAACAAATGGGGCCAGGATAAAAAGGAACGTGTGCTAGATTTTGTCATAAGTTTTTGTCATTAGCAATAGCAATAGCACTTAGACTTAGATACTGGTACATAGTGCTTTACAGCCCTCTCTAAGCGGTTTATAAATGTCAACATATTGCCCCCAATAATCTGGGTCCTCATTTTACCAACCTCGGAAGGATGAAAGGATGAGTCAACCTTGAGTCAGTCAGGATCGAACCCTTGGCTGTGGGCAGAATTAGCCTGCAATACTGCATTCTAACCACTGCACCACCACTGTTCCTACATTGTATCTTCATGGGGATTTGGGATACTTGTCCATCTATTACATTTCACTCACCTGCTCTCCTCTCCTTCCAGCAATTTTCTGTAGGTAGCAATTTCAATATCAAGTGCCAACTTAACGTTCATCAGCTCCTGGTACTCCTTCAAGAGACGGGCCATCTCTTCCTTGGACTTCTGCAAAGCTTCCTCTAGTTCGGAGAGCTTTTCTCTGGCATCCTTGAGTGCCAGCTCACCACGCTCCTCAGCTTCTGCAATAGAAGCCTGCAGCTTCTCACACTGAAAGATAAGATAAGGTATTCTGTAGTAAATAGTAAAGTTAGCAAAAAATATGTCTTCCTGGGTCCATTTATTTATTTGTACCCCGCCTTTATTATTTGCACAAATAACTCAAGGTGGTGAACATATCTAATATATCTTCCTCCTCCTGTTTCCCCCACCACAAAAATCCTGTGAAATGAGTTGGGCTGAGAAAGAATGACTGGCCCAAGGTCAGCCAGCTGGCTTTCATAGTTAAGGTGGGACTTGAACTCATTGTCGCCAACTTTCCAGCCTGGCGCCTTAGTTGTCCATCAGCTACCAACATAAATACAAATACAATTATAATTCTGTCCCTACTTCTCTCTGCCATTTTCTTACAGGCCTGAAGGACACTGGCACCTTCAGAAAATATACCAAAGTGGTACTCCATAGTCCAAGAGGCTTATGGGAGAAAACAAATAGTTAAAATAGGAGATGATGCTTCTAAGGGTCTCTTTTACTGCTACCCAAAGGACATCAGTGCCTCCCACTGATAACTCAATTATCCAAGTTAGAGTGCACTAGGAAGCTTATACTGTAGTTTATGGAAAACAAGAACATTGAGGTTGTATCTTCTTGCTTGGCACATTTTTAATTTCTATTCTGTTCACACTGTTGCAATTAAAGTATCAACAACACTGGCTCAGGCTAACTGAATGGTGTTCTACACATTAGGAAATTCTAAAGAAACTTCCACTTCCTCAAATCCTGCAAAATTCTTCTGGCCTTACCTGCTTCTTCACATTTTCTATTTCAGCTCGCATCCTCTGAATTGTCCGGTTCAGCTCAGCAATCTCAGTCTTGGTATCTCGTAGATTGTCACCATGTCTCCCAGCCGACACCTGCAGCTCTTCATACTAGCATTCCACAAAAAAAAGGGAAGGTCAAAGGTTACATCTGAAAATCTTTGGTAGAAGGTCCAACTAATTAAGGTTTCCCCAAATGCTGTGATATGTTTACAAAGCTGTCTCAAAAAAAGGTGTGATTATAGCCAGTGCACTTTTTCAAACAAAGCTTGTCCACAATACAACTTTCTGAAGTACTGCAGATGGATTATTGGCCAATTTGACCAAAAGACCCTTTGGCATTTTAGTCCTTGGCAGCAGACGGGCATAGATTCAATGCCTAGCGTCTACAAATAGGAGCTTGTCTCCGAAACTTTGAAAGGTGCCCTCAGCCAGATAAGCCCATTGACTGATTGACTGACTGACTAATTATGTGTCAGTTAGTGTCAGCTCTTAGCAACCACTTAGATTTTCCACAAGAGGATGCTTCAGATCTTTGATTAAACCCATGGGCTAATTCAATATAAGGTAGCTTTTAATGTCCACCCACTGTTTACTGTGTTTTCTAAGAGTGCACAATTCAGTGGTCAAAGCATTCCAAGAGAGCTTATTCAGGTTTATTACATATCACATACCTGTGTCTCAGCTGAGGATTATTCTATATTGGAAAAGCCTGAAAGGAGCAAACACTTTGAAAACTCACCTTGCATTGATACCAAGATTCTGCTTCTGCCCGGCTCTTCTGGGCAATGTCCTCATATTGGGCTTTAACCTCAGCAATGATGCTATTCAAGTCCAAGCTCCGGTTGTTGTCCATTTGAAGGACAACAGAGGTATCAGAAACACTTTGCTGCATCTGGTTCAGTTCCTAAAAAGGGAATCCAGTCAGCTTAATTAATCCAACCTGAACATATTAATTTTCCCCAATTTATTTGTTTCTTTATTGTATCCTGTTTTTATTGTGTCACTTCAAGGTGGTATACATATTGCTCACTTGTCCCCACAATAACAATTCTGTCATGTGTATAAGGCTGAGAAGAAGCGATTGGCCCAAAGTCACCTAGCTCAGGGCTGTAATGCACATGTATGTGCACACGTGTGCACCAACCCGCTGCTCACATGGCCCGGTTCCTTCTCTTCCCCTCTGCCGTGCCACCAAGCCACAAAGGATGGGAGCCGCTAATCTAGCTGGCTTCTATGCATAAGGTCAAGGTAGACCTCACCGCCTCAAGTTTCTGTTCCAGTAGTTTAACCAGTACATCAAACTCATTTTCATATTTGGCCTCTGGGAAGAGTGTGTGTGTGTGTGTGTGTTGACCAGATTTTGAGAACCTTATGCAAAAGAACCCACAGCGTGTCTGCAAATTCCAGACATTCTCTCAGAACTAGGAAGTGTATCATATGCCAAGTTACTTATATTAGTGATCAGCACATTTACTTACAGCTTCGAACATACACCTCAGGAAATTGATTTCATCTGTTAAGGCATCCATTTTTGCCTGCAGTTCCACTTTGTTCATGTAAGCAGCATCTACATCCTGGGGGGGGGGGGAGAGAGAAACGGAAGATGGTTCAGTCTTCTGCACATTTGATAATGAAGATGATAATAATCTTGATTTAAAGAAGGATATTATTTTTTCTAAAAATGGCAGTTTCGGAATTAAACCACAACACAAGAGCCAGGAATGTTGTTCTATTACATAGCAGTTATGCTTGTAAGAGCTCATGGACATATGGGAGAATGGTAACAGAAGACTCCCATTTTTTGTTTTTGTTTTTATTTTCACATCTTCCTTCAAAGTGCAATTTTCAGTCTGGCATGAAAGCATCTAAGCCTTTTAACCAAACATCAAAAGCAGCTATTCATCTTATCAATATCAACTAACAGCATCTTACTTCTCTTCCCTACTCATTACCTTGTATGGACATCTTCAGCTTCCCGGACAACATAGTTCCTCTTGGTCAGTGCTCTTTTATATTAATCTCTAAAATAGTGAACCTGGTGTTCGAGCAAATGCCATTCTTTTACAAGCAGCAACATAGAAGAGGATATTACAGGAAACTGACACTGTCAGGCACCGGTGTTGTTCAGATCAGTACAAGTTTATTCCACACTATCTCTAAACAAAAATCTGAACTACTAACGGTCAAGGCAAATTGGGGGCAGATAAGGGTCAATGGAATTCAAGGAGGGCTGGACGTAGGTCTCTTGTGGGTGCGAAGGGACTCCAGACTGGTGACAGGCTTGATCCCCTCCCTTGGGCTCAGCCGATACACTCCCACAGAGAGGGCCTCCTCAGGGTGCCGTCAGCCAGACAGTGTCGGCTGGCGACCCCCAGGGGGAGAGCCTTCTCTGTCGGAGCACCCACCCTCTGGAACGAGCTGCCCCCAGAGATCCGGGTGATCCCGGATCTCCCCTCCTTCCGCCGCGCCCTTAAGACCTGGTTATTTCAGCAGGCAGGACTGGCCTAGGGGTATTTTAAAGGGGTTTTAAATTAAATTTTTAGTAGAAGCGGCCAAATTTAAATAGTTATTTTTAATCTTTTTTAAAGTTTGTATTGTATTATATCATTGTTTTAAACTGGCTGTAAGCCGCCCTGAGTCCTCCGGGAGAAGGGCGGGGTATAAATTTAATAAAATCTAAATCTAAATCTAAATCCTACAGATACCATTTTAGAATTTTTTTCCCCTCAACTCACAAAGAAGGAGAAGGATTTACTGCAAACAGTGTTGAAGGCAGGCGTAATTTAATGGAAAGGACGCTGAGAGAATATCCTAAGACTTTCAACCAGCTGAGCCTATTGCTACAATCAGCCGCTCCTTAACCCAAACCAATTTTTTTCCCTTTCATCCCTTCATCATTGCAGTTGAAGCACTTACCTTTTTCAAGAGCACAAAATCATTCTCTGCTGCTGTACGCTTGTTAATCTCTTCCTCATATCTGACAAAGAGAAAGAAAGATTAAATTTCTCCTTTTGAGTGTGTCTGATACTATGGTCTCCGACGTATCGTTCATTCGTCCACACTTTACAAACTATTCCAAATTCTTTAAGAATCTTTAAAAGGTAAAGGTTTCCCTGTCCAGTCATGTCTAACTCTAGGGCACAGTGCTCTCTCCATTTCTTGGCTGAAGGAGCCAGTATTGTCCAAAGACATTTTCCATGGTCTTGTGGCCAGCACAGCTATATGCTAAAGGCGCATGGGCGCTGTTACCTTCTCACTAAAGTGGTACCTATTTATCTCATTTGCATGTTTTCTAATTGCTAGGTGGGCAGGAGCTGGGTCAAGCACGGGAGCTCACTCCATTGCACAGAGCGAGTCTCAAACACCTTTCCAGTTGACAAACTCAGCATCTTTAACCACTGACCATTGTACCCCTTGCACGAATCTATACTTTGAAGTTAATAATAATGACTCGATAGGTGGATAAAAATACCAAATCCAGACTAAACATCTGGCAGATTGTGTGATGAACCATAATAATAATCTGATTGACCAACCATAATAATTTGTTTAACCCTTATTAAAAACTCTTATTTTTCCACAGTGTGCTCATATTTGTGGTGCCCTATTTGGCTATTTTATTTTATTTTTTCTAGATAGGGAATGTGGAATAGGATTAGCCATGACTTCTAAAATGTCCTAACAATCAAACCCTTTGAAATCTTTGTGGCGTACAAATGAAAGAAAATGAGAGATCAGTTTACCCTTAACTGTTATGTGAGTGATTCAGCTTCTACAGGTTTGTAACTCACATACTGCTTTTCATTGTTTATCAAATTTATTCAGGCTTATGGCCATCTAGATTAGTGTTTCTCCAGCATATGCTGCCTGAAGAATTCTCAACTCTGAAGTCCACACATTTCAAAGTTGCCCAGTTTGAGAAACACTGTACTAGATGTTGAGGAACATAGGTTTCCCAAGCTTGGGCTATTTCAGTATTATTTTATGACTGAAGATAACACCTATGTTTTGAGCAATATGAAGCAAATACTATACTAAAAAATTTCTGGAATTCAACCATATTATGTTGGTCTAAATTATAAGCATTTTAATGGAACAAGTCCTCCCCAATCCTGTATATATTCCCTAAAAACTGGACAGTGTGCAACAGCTAAGATGAAAAATGTTTCATGAAACAGATTATTGGTAGGATTCACTGGATGTAACGCACACTGATATATACAGGGAGGGAAGAAAGAAAAGACAGAAATGTGCTAAGATATGTCTTTCTATTCACAGGCAAGTATTTCCAATACATGTGGTAGATAATTAAGCATGTTCGCTGAAAATAAGGAGAAAAAATGATTCTCATTTTTAGGGAAATGAATCCTCTTCTAAAGAAAAACCACTCCCTCAAAATGTTATGATTAGATTGTTCCACCTTCTTCATCAGACTGGACATTTACCTAACAAAGCCCAATTTTCATGAATGTAGACAAAAGAATATCAAGAAGTTTTAGTTTGGATTAATCTTTTTCCAATATTTTCCAAAGCACCTGAAGGCAGGACAAGAAGCAACGGGTGGAAACGAACCAAAGAGAGAAGCAACCTAGAACTAAGGAGAAACTTCCTGACAGTTAGAACAATTAACAATTAACAACCTGCCTCCAGAAGCGGTGAATGCTCCAACACTGGAAGTTTTTAAGAAGAAACTGGACAGCCATTTGTCCAAAATGGTATAGGGTTTCCTGCCTGAGCAGGGGGTTGGACTAGATGACCTCCAAGGTCCCTTCCAACTTTACCATTATTATTATTATTATTATTATTATTATTATTATTATTATTATTATTATTATTATTATTATTATTATTAT